TTTGTCTTTCTGTAATCCCTCACCCCCCCTTCTTTGATTCAGCACAATAAAAGAGGACAGCGTTAGAGCAAGCTGGCAGCCTGAACAATCCATCTGTCTCAGGCTCAACTGGGACAATTCCATCTGCCCCAGGCAATGCGCTGCCTCACCTAAAGATATCTTCGTCTTGTGTTCTTTTTTCTTTTAGCTTTTGCAATCACTTTTAAACTCACCCTGGATAGGGTCCTGCTTTTGCCAAACTTCGCCCTTGCGAGGGCTTCTCTGTATCTCACTCTTGCGAGGGTCCCTTTCTGAGAGGAATTCAGCAATCAACCAGAAGATCGAAACAACAGACCGGTCGCTCAACGCGACATACCATATGTTGAGAAACACATGTAAGGTATACTGCAAAATGAGATGACAGCATTGTCAGATATTATTTATGTATTGTATCTATTTCTGAAAGTTATAATGTTTAGTAACTGCCTATTTAGATTGAATGGTGACAAATTTGTGTACATATTTCCCCACTCTGAACTTTCAGAATTTGATTTTGAAAGGAAATGATTCACTTAAACATGTTAAAGAAATGTATTGAAAGTGCCTGGTAAAATTTACAGACATAATTGTACCCTGCATATCTGAGAGAAGTATGAAAAATGTGGGACTTGTACAGAGTCTTTATTTTGTAAATAATAATAATTTCCCTCTTACCATATATGTGCCACAATTTTAATATAGATGAATAAAATAACAGTCATATGACCTTTAGAATACCTCTTTGATACCTTTGTTCAAATTTATCCAGAAGAACATGGAAACAAATAGAGTAAGCTAAAAGAGACTGACTATCTTGTTTACTACAATGTTCCCCCTTTAAAAAAGTTTATGTCTGACTATCAAAAGTTTGTTCTAGCCTTAGGCTAGAGAAAGAGGAGACTTGTAAATTCAGAATGGTCAGCTAAATAAATAAATCCTTGTCAAATGTAGAAATATGTGATGCATCTGTTATATGTTTGTTGGTTAAGTTCTGAAACTTGGATGAGTAGACAGTTGAAACTTCTTGTGCTATCTATGCCAGCTGTTCAGCTTATTTGTATTAGAGGTCTTCATTGGAAGATTGGATGGTTGAGTCATCCTGTATAGAAGTATGGGACTGATAGAAACCAATGGTTGGACTGGGACATTTTGATGATATGTGATGTGAGATAGGATCAGGTTACTTTTGTGGAAAAGAGTTTGGTTTCTTACAGTGTCCTCTTGTGGCTTTCAGTTTCAGTTTCAGGTTTTCACAGCAGCCCTATCTGTTGTTCTTCAATGCCAGGTTATATTTCAATAAATTTATCCACATTAATGATCTCAATATGGATGAAAAGAGTCAACTTTATAGAAACCTGATTGGTCATGGAGGGTGGAGTTCTTGAATTAGAAATGTGCACATATGGATTTCAGGTCTGGTGTCAGCCATAATTTCATCATTATTATTTAAAAGGATCATGTTATGGTTTGAGGTATTGTATCATTATCCAGCACACACATCTGTTGGACACAGGAAGTGAGAATTCTGTGCTTTCTGATCCCAGGACAAATGTTTGGATGCTGAAATGCTATTCAGGTACCTCAAATATATTATAGTGCAACAATTTTTAAATCAAGATACCTAAAATCTGCTAACTTAAATAATGTGTAAAAAAAATCTGGGACATATTATTCCTATGGAACTAAAATTCCCAGGATGTTCTGATCAGTTTTATTTACAAAGTTGTGCCTGTTGTTATCTCTACAGTCACATGATTGTGATTTCCAACAGCTTCCCACAATTAATTTAAATGAGGAAGCCAGCAGGAAGTCAGAAGTCAATGCCATTCCCATTGGTTTGTTTTTGGCCTACCGATGGTCATTTTCAAATCAAACCAATAGCAAGACCGCTCAGGAAAATTGAATGTTCATTATACTAATATCAGATCATAACCCTTTCATTGAAAGAATGAGCTAACAAATCTTGAATTGTTATTTATTTTTGGATGATGGGCACATTTTTCATCACAAATAGCAACATTTTCCTGGGCTTTAACTACATAGAAATAATGACATTGAACCTTGAAGCACTATACAAATGGGGCAAAATTTATTTTTCTGTTTTTCCTGATTTGGGTCTTGTTTTGTTTTTTATTATTATTTTTCTTGGTGTTTTTTTTTACTGTATGTGTTACTTTTATTGAGCTACTCATAGTTTGGTACTAAAGTGGGAAGGTTTTTTTCTTATAGAACTAATCATCTAAAATAATATGAACCTAAGGGATTCAGAAAAACCTTCAATCCACAGTGGTTGTTCTGTACTGCCTATGGAGACTGACATTAACAATTTTGGGGAAAATCCCAAGGACAAGGACAGTAGAAAAAGTTACCTAATTAATACTCATAAAATCTCACTGTCAGAGGTGTAAAGACATAGAAAAACAAATAAAAAATCTGCATGAATGAAGATGGTAATTTTTTCTTGAATAAATTTTTTCTACTATTCATCTCTTCATTATGGATCATAGGCTTTCTTTCCCTTTATGAACAATTGCATTTCCAGCTAAACAAGTAAGCACATTATAATGTCAGACATTATTCATTTCATCATTATTGTTCAAGCAATGTTACTTAGGAGTAGATGAAAATAAACAACACTAAAATGTAGTAACATATTAAGTTGATCTACCATTAAACATAAAAAATCACTAATTTAGATAAATGTAATAGTCTGAAGTTAAATAATTAATTTTTGAATGCAATTTAAGTTGATAAACAGAATTTACTAGTTTTAATCCCTTTGCTCACATAAATTTTGGTTCAAAGTAATTTCAATCATATTACACATTATTAATTTGGTCAAAGAAATACTTTTATTTTACAAGCAATTTTTAAAAGACTGATTTCTTTATCATAAAGTAAGGATAAGAAATGCAGGACATCACCTTTTTTTTTAGGAATAACAATGTGTGAGTCCTTAAATTAGATTAGAATTAGATTAGATTAGATTAGATTAGATTAGAATTCTTTATTGGCCAAATGTGATTGGACACACAAGGAATTTGTCGATGCATATGCTCTCAGTATACATAAAAGAAAAGATATATTCATCAAGAGTCAAGAATCACAAGGTACAACACTTAATAATAGTCATATAGTACAATAAGCAATCAAATCATACTAGGAAACAGTGAATAAAAATTGTTAGGATACAAGCAACAAGGCTACAGTCATAAATCAACTCAAAAGCCATTTACAAAAAAAAGTGGGGTTTTAAAATCCAGTTTTAGAAAGAGTCAAGGAAAACCTCTCCATAAACCATCTCTGAACAAGTTGACAGTTATCACCACGTGGACAGGAAAGAGTTACACCAGAAATGATAGTATAATACACTTTATATTTGAAAACTGTCGAGAGGAATTGGCTCACCAATTTCTATTGCTTCATTTTTTTCAGTTATTTTTAAAAGTGCAAAATGTTTCTTTTCAACATATTTGTGCTTTGTACCATGAATATTTATCAGCAGAATGAAATGGAGGGAACCCTAACTGTCAATAATATGTTTATTAAATATCAAGACATATTCAGAAAAGAAAGAAAAGAGTCTAATGCTGCCACAGTTGAATACAGCAGGATTCAAATAAATATTGTTGGCAATTAATACCAAAGATAATACCTGATTAAACAATTTTCTTTCCCAAGATTTTAAATTTCAATTTCACTTATTGTCATAGGAAGGGCTTATGAAAAATATAGTTTCTTAAACACCTATTAAAAATGAACAAAACTGACATTTGTATTTGTTTTTCAGACAAAATATAGCAATAACCTGATTACTGCTAAATAACACTGATACAACTGATTTGTAAAAAAAAGATAATTGACTGATAAGACTATTTAAAATATTAATGTGTCAACATTTTTAAATTATTCTTAAAAATATCTCTAAACTGTCCTGAAAGGAAAACCTTAACAGTTGTCCATTTTCTTCCAGGGTGGTCATGCTGAAAAATGCATAACAACACATCAGGGTTTCTCCTTTTGGAATTTTCAACAATTTGGGAACTACAGACTTTATTACTAATACTGTACATAATGACAGTAACGGGGAACTTTTTCATCATCATTGCTGTTGTTTCTGATCACCACCTACACACCCCCATGTACTTCTTCCTGATGAACTTAGCTGTGCAAGACATTGGTTCTGTTTCTGACATTATTCCCAAAGCTGTTTTCAATTCTCTTACAGATACAAGGAAAATTTCATATGTTGGTTGTGTTGTCCAAGTCTTCTTGATTCTATTCTTCTTCGGCTCAGATGTTTCTCTTCTTACAGTTATGGCATATGATCGGTATGTTGCTATTTGCAATCCTTTGCAATATGAAATAATAATGAACAGGAAAGCTTGTGCCAAAATGATTGGAAGTGTTTGGACTGCTTGCCTTCTCAATGCTGCATTGCACACTGTTGAAATGTTTACTACTCCTTTCTGCTCTAATATTATCAACCAATTCTACTGTGAAATCCCATATTTACTAAAGATTACTTGCTCTGATTCATATATAACTGAAATTGGAGTTGTAGTGTTCAGTGTTTCATTAACAATTGGTTGTTTTGTCTTCATCATATCTTCATACATGCTGATTCTTGCTGCTGTTCTAAGAATCCCTTCTATACAAGGGAGGAAAAAGGCGTTCTCCACTTGCATACCACATCTCACTGTTTTCTCCATATTTATGTTTACTGGTTCCTTTGCTTATCTAAGACACATATCTGATCATCCATCCCATCTTGATTTCATAATTACAATAATGTATTCCATTATCCCACCCATGATGAATCCATTAATCTACAGCATAAGAAACAAGAACATCAAAGTCTCTCTTTCAAGATTTTTTGGTCAAAAGTTATTTCATTTTAAAGAAGTGTGACTTGTGTAACTATTTTTATATTTTAATAAGGAAAAGAAACATATACATTTGATATAAAACTTATATAACCATCTGCTGATTGCAGACACTTGGCTTAGGTTAGAAAGTTTATTTTACTGATTATGAGGTTGATACCATCTAGGTTAAGACTGATGATACTATGATCCATTGAGGCAATACTGACCCTTGTTTAGTATGGGGCCATTCCCTGCAATTCTCTTGGTAATATTTTTGAAAGTGACTTTCTTTTATTTTTCCATCTCATATGGAGAGTTTTCTTCAAATCATATTTCATTACAATTACATTCCTGAATCTAGACCTTATTTGCCTCTAGCATGTTTATAAATATGATCCATAATAAATAGGAAATTTATATTTTGGTTGTTGTTGCCTTGGTTCTGTTCTCAATTCCAATCACAATTTTGGGGGATGAGCTAGCTGCTGCTTTTCATCTAGACTTATGTGCCATTAAATCTTTCTCAACTCCAAGAAACCATAGATAACTTTTCTCCATTATGTTTATCCCTAACCAGATATTTCAAATCTTCCAAAATCCATCCTCCTTGCTGCAGCTCATCCTCTTCTTTTTTTTCTTCCCACATCTATCAGCATTATAACTTTTCCTTGACAGTTGTGTCTTCTCATAACATGTTCATAGTAAATTAATTTGAATCTGATCATTAAATTAATTGATTGTTTGTATTCAACCTTTCGTATAGTGGCCTATGACCATAATAAATTATTGATTTTGGTGGCAATGAGTACTAATTCTATAGTTAATGTTGCTTAGTGTTCAAATGAATGCACAGAAATATATATGAACAATTGTAAATATTTCAATATTGATAAATTTATAATGGCTTTTGGTTATAATGAAAACAATCATCTTATTTATTGATTGATTGATTTGATTTGATTTGATTTGATTTGTCAATCGCTTACAAGATAATAGCTATAAGTATAAACATGAGTAAGAATAGAAGAAATAGGATGGGGACAATAGGACAGGGATGGGAGGCATGATGGTGCACTTATGCATGCCTCTTACAGACCTCTTAGGAATGGGTGAGGTCAATAGTGGATACTTTGAGGTTAAACGAGTGGGGGTTTGAGGATGTAACAACAGATTCAGGTAGTGCATTCCAGGCATTGACAACTCTGTTGTTTTCAATCTGTTTCTTTAGGAACTTTAGCTGTACATCTGTTTATGTTTTGTGAACATTTAAAACAAATAATAGCAAACTAGGTTTTACTTCTTTGATTTTTAAAAAAGTTAATTGAGGAACCAATGTTTTTCATGTAAACAATATATTCAGAAATCATATAGGCTATACAGACTATATTCAATACCATTCAAAGGGGAAATAAAGACATTTTTTGCTCCCCCCCCCACACAATTCATTTTCCCCTACTAATCATTTCCTGGATAGAAAAGAAAAGAATAAAGAGAAGCTGCAATATTATTTATTCAGGCAATTAACTGTGAGTATTACATTTCCAGGCCTATTCAGAAGAACCATCACTATTTTAATGTGATTTCTTGTTTTCTTATTTACATATATATACAGTATCTGGTAAGCAATGGATTCATGGATTTCCTAGAATTAACATTTTATACAACCACACAATCACAAATTTGCATATTATCTTAAAGAATTAGGAGGGCTAAGGAGAAATGTATCATAAATTAAATATTTTTCATAGTATGGACCAACAGATATTAAATAGGTTACAAGAATCTATGTGCTACCATCATTCTAGCTCTTTAAGTTGATGTAAACAAAAATAGCAGGATAATTTCTGATAAAGTTGGGCTTTGTTATGTAGCCAAATTGTAATCTAAAAGACATAAGAACAATTCTACACAAAATGTCCATTCCAAAGTGAGAAAAAATAGGAAACAACCTTATAGAATCATCACAATTACAATCATCTTCATAAAAAATAATAATATTATCATCATTTTTGAAATAATAATGATGATGTTCCTTCTGAATTTTTAGGATCAATTTTCTTACTGTATCACCCTCATTCTCCTGAAAAATATTTTAAGGTTTTAAAACATGAAATAAACAAAATTAAACAGTAAATAAATAAAAGAGTAGCAATTTTCATAAAACTTTGACTTTATTATTGCATTTATTCATTCCTTAAACTTAATAAAAAATCTGTAAAATTCTAAAAATATTAGTATTTATATTGCCACTATTTTTTATCGCTCCCAAATAAATGCCCATAATTATGTAATTCCTTCAAAATGTCCTAAAGGTATTTTTTTTCTTTTTTAAAAAATTTTTAAAACAAACTTTATTTACAAAGGATTAAAAAAATATAAACATACAAATATACAGAAATAAAAAATAGTAAACCTACAAATAGAACAGTAAACATATTTCTTTCTATTACATTTGATATTAGGTTTGATAGTTCATAATAAACAATAATAAATAATAATTGGCAAGTATTCCTTGTCTCTTATAGATAGCATATTAATTAATAAATAACACACGTTACTCTGCTATTACTATTGGATTATAAATGTATTATTTAATCAATAAAACCTTCATAATGTTTATATAATAGAAGAGAAGCTTGAACCCATTATTTTATACATTAAAATATACAACTATATATAATATGTTTCCTGGGTTCATTTATTCTGTACACTCTTTTTCTTGTGCTCTACCCAGCTGTACCATTTATCATCTCAAATGATCTAAGTGCTAGAGCCCACTGTAACTACATAGCCAAAAAGGCATTAAGAGTTGTTAATCTAATCCTACGTAGCTTCTTCTCTGATAATATCACACTACTAACTAGAGCATACAAAACATTTGCTGGACCTATACTTGAATACAGCTCATCAATCCAGAACCCACATCACGTATCTGATATTAACACAGTTGAGAAAGTTCAGAAATATTTCACAAGAAGAGATCTACACTTCTCATTGCAGAATACCTTATGCCACCAGACTTGAAATTCTAGACCTAGAAAACCTAGAACTACTCTGTCTTCAGTCCGATCTAAGTATAGTATATAAAATCATACATTGCAATGTCCTACCGGTCAATGAATACTTCAGCTTCAACCATAACAATTCTCTTCGCTGATGATGTAAAGCTGTTCAATACCACAGACAATACTGCTACCCTACAAAAAGATCTTGACTATGTATCCGAATGGTCAAACAAATGGCAACTTCAAATCTCAACAAATAAATGCTCTGTCTTACATATTGGCAAAAAAAATCAGAAAATAAAATACAAGCTGAATAGTCAAGATCTTGTTGATGACCCAAGCTCTGTAAAGGACCTTGGAATACTCACCTCTAATGATCTAAGTGCTAGAGCACACTGCAACTACATAGCCAAAAAGGCATTAAGAGTTGTTAACCTAATCCTACGTAGCTTTTTCTCTGGTAATATCACACTACTAACCAGAGCATACAAAACATTTGCTAGACCAATACTCGAATACAGTTCATCAGTCTGGAACCCACACTACGTATCTGATATTAGCACAATTGAGAAAGTCCAGAAATATTTCACAAGAAGAGTTCTCCACTCCTCTACTCGCTGTAGAATACCTTATGCCACCAGACTTGAAATTCTAGAACTAGAAAACCTTGAATTACGCCGTCTTCGGTCTGACTTAAGCATGGTATATAAAATCATACATTGCAATGTCCTACCTGTCAATGAATACTTCAGCTTCAACCATAACAACACAAGAGCACACAATAGATACAAACTCAAAGTAAACCGCACCAAACTTGATTGCAGGAAATACGACTTCAGCAATAGAGTGGTCAATGTCTGGAATACTCTACCCGACTCTGTAGTTTCTTCCCCAAACCCCAAAAACTTTAACCTTAGACTGTCTACTATTGACCTCACCCCTTTCCTAAGAGGTCTGTAGGGGGCGTGCATAAGCGCACCAACGTGCCTACCGTCCCTGTCCTATTGTTTCTCTTATTCTTTTATTTTTCTTATATGTAACCATTTCATGTATTCACAACTATGTATACATTTATACTTATTATCTTGTAAACAATTGGCAAATCAAATAAATAAATAAATAAAATAAATAAATAAGAGCACACAATAGGTACAAACTCAAGGTTAACCGCACCAAACTTGACTGCAGAAAATACGACTTCAGCAACAGAGTGATCAATGTTTGGAATACTTTACCTGATTCTATGGTTTCTTACGCAAACCCCAAAAACTTTAACCTTAGATTGTCTACTATTGATCTCACCCCCTTCTTAAGAGGTCTGTAGGGGGCATGCATAAGCGTACCAATCGTGCCTACCATCCCTGTCCTATTGTTTTTTATTTTTCTTATAAGTATCTATCTCATGTATTTAAAACTATATTTATTCTTATACCTGTATCTTGTAAGCGATTGACAAATCAAATCAAATATATTTAAAAAATTATATCTAATCTGTCTCATGGGAAGGAATCTGTTTTGGTGAGGATGAATTTTGTCATTGAGCACTTTCTTAAATCTTTCTGTCATTACAGTCATGAAAATTTTATAGTCTGAATTTAGAAGAGATATTGATATTGAAGAGATATAATTATTTATTTGATTGGCATCTGCACCCTCTTTAGGGATTAATGTAATATCAGCTTCCTTCCATGATTCTGGAACTTTAGCTTCCAGTAATACCTCATTGCAGATCTCTAGCAACACATTTTCTAGTACCTCTTCTATCTCTTTGTATAACTCACTTGGGAAGCCATCTGGGCCTCGGGTTTTATTGCTTTTTTGTTTTTTAATCGCCTCTTTTAATTCACTTAAAGTTATTTCTTTATTAAGTATCTCCTTTTTGTCCTCTGGTACTTTTTTCAAGAGGCAACTGAACTTCCTTGTTTTTCTTTGAAGACATTTTGCTTCTCATCCAAGAAGCTTCTTCAGCTCTGAGAATGTTTTCAGATATTTTTTTTTTAATATATGCACATCTTCATTTGTAATGCATGTTAAATGT